TTCGGCTTTGCTCCTACATTAAGCTGACACGCCGTGATATAACTGGAATAATGTTAAAAGCGGCGTTAAACCCAACTCACTCGCTCACTCACTATAACGAACACGAATATACCGAACTGACGGATATTACGAACTGCTTAAGGGTCCCGTTCATTTGCTGTATATAAGCTGTGTATGTGCCTATAACAATCTACGGTTATAACTAACTACAATTAGTGGTCCCCTTTTAACCGTAATTTACTGTAATTGGAAAGAGCTGTCATATAAAGTGCGAATGATGCTTCAAACCTGACGTTTGTCAAATTAACATATCTGTGGTAACACCTAAAGTATGCATCACACCAGACACGTACTTGTTCCTCTATCCACCTGATAAAATACAATATTATTACTAGACATTTGGGGTGGATATTCAAATTGAAAGTAATGGTTTGGAATTCAAGTATATCTCTAAGTATATCTCAAGTATACCTGTCATTGATGGACAATCATTTTTACGACTTTGTCATTTTTCATGTGGCATATTCTTTCCCTAATCAAAGCTTTCACAGAACTAACAAAAATGTTCTGCCAATATCTTGAACCATATAGACCTCTGTCTTAAATAGCATTTCAACTGAAAATTTCAAATCGATCTCTGCCGACCAGACAGGTCATATTACATAGACATTCATGTATTCGGTAGCGCTAGTAATGATTAACTGCCGTACATTTATTGCTGGTTATGACATATCATTGGCATGTTTTTTCACGTTGCCCATGCACTTATCACCCATTCCGTTCAATCTGTTAATCTGTTAAAGGACACATGGATGATTAAAATACCTGTTCATGGAGATGAATTGTTCATTCATAGACCCGTGGATAACTGATCGGTTTGATGTTTTGCGCTTTTAAATGACTAATGTGTCAGAGGGTGGATCAGATAGAAACATTAATGTAAATAAAACCCATGTGATGAATGGATAAGCGTCATTTGCGGCTTTGACCTTGATGCTCCACAGGAGGAACCGTTAGAGAAGGTCGTCACCTGGTGTCATCACTTTTTCATATTTTGATTCCTCAGTGTAGGTTCATGATTGAATCACTTGATTTGAGATGATGTTTTTCTCAGCTGAGGTACAAGTTTTCTTTCTTAAAAAAGTAATCCGATCGTGTTGTATCCAATGTCCGTTATGTCAGTCTCGGGTATGCAGTTCAACGTTGTGAGAATTCAATACATGGTGTTGTGTTGAACATGTGAGTAGATTAAAAAACCCACTGCTTGCAGGTTTGATTTTGTTAAATTTTCTTTTTGGGGGTTAAACCGTTAAAACTGTCCACCTATCCGATTTGCAATCTGAAGTGCTACTTAAATTTAAAGCACTCAAATTTTGTTTTTGATGATTTTCATTTGATGTGACAATGACAAATTGGGATTCAAATACGAAATATTTATGATTTACACTCCCTAAAAACCTAAACAGTCCCGAGGCGGCTTCGAGATATCGTTGAAGAGAGAATGTGAAGTGCTCAATATGAATCGATCATTCTAACAGTGACGTATAGTGTCGTAACAAACAATAAAGAAGCTGTTATTCATAAAGAGTGTCGTGTATTCATCTTTTTCAAACTTCTGAGACATTTAAATAATCATAAAAAAATCTCTGCTAGAAGCAGAGCCCATTGCACGATACGGACTATATCATAGGCATGTGTTCCTGAATTACTATCAAATAGTAATGATACCAGGTGTTCGCCAAAAGGTGAGTGTAACCTGCCCCACCGGTGGCAAAACGCATTTGGCTCTATCAAATCAGATTGATATGAGCACTTTGTACTAAACGTGATACTTAAAGGCTACATTTAATAATTTAATATTTTTGTTCATATTAATTCTGCACAAACAGAGAATACTTACATTCCCGACTCTGGATAGTCACGTTAATGGGTGAGTGAGTGAGTTGGGTTCATGCCGCTTTGAACTATATTCCAGCGAACGCATTAACAACTTGTCTACCCGACCCTCCTACAGCAATGGGTCCTATCAGGACTAGTATAACTAGTTCATCAACTTACACGAATACACGAATACATTTCAACTAAAGTATGGACAGAATAAGATCCTCGGTTCAAACATACTGTCACATTAATTTTTCGGTATCTAGTAAAGAAAAGAATTGTCAATATTGATTCGGTTTTTGTATCGTTTGTCCATTCAGCTTTCCAACTTTTATTGTAAAAAAATGAAAGTTTGAGAGCCCAACATTGTTATCGTATTCCAGCTTTTTAATTCTTGTTTTTTTTAAATGGAACGCAAAAGAGCTTTTATTGTCTCCCGTACTCAACTTTTTTACTCCATTCTCGTTTTTACTTGGAAAAGCCCCAAACCTCATTGTGTGCTCTTACTTTTCGTTAGTACATCGTAGTGTTTTGGTGTCAGAATTACATGAGCCGGGACCCTAAGAGTATCATCTCGTAAGTCGAATATCGATACTTTCATGAAATGATGATGAAAACAATTTGTGTAATAGCAGTTTAATGAAATTATTTCATATTTGATGCTTTGAAACAACCTGAGGGAATATATTAGTTTTTAATGCCCGCCAGTCCTCAAATGACTGCATATGGCTGATCCTTCAGGCATTGCTCTGATTGAATCCTCGTCAAAGACGCGTTTGAAGACGTTAAGTTTACACTTCAAAGCTAAACAATAGGCTCCATTTGGTACACTTAATACGCAATGAATTGCATTTTTTGTATTGGATTACAGAGTCCGCACAAACATAGATGGGTTGATAAGTCCTGCAAATGGAACACAAAACCCCTGTCTCAAAGATTAACCATAAACCTTAATACAATCAAGAAAAGAAGTTCTTTATATTCACAGAATGTATTTGAGACAAGTGGATAAATACCATGTTGATTCTGAAAATGTCAAAGGATTTGCTTGAATGCTTACATCTCAGAAAAGAACTTAGTTTAGTTGTGTCAAAACATTTGAATTTTCAAGTTTGTACACCACTATCTAACACTACAAACATCACCCCTCGTGGTTTATTCTCCCTACAGTGTTTAGTTCTGTTCAATAAACAACCCCCACTCGTCGTTTGTTTCATAAATAGGCTTTAGAGATCCAAACAAATACATAGCCAGAAGACTGTATGGCAAGAAGGATGACTTCAACTTTCCAGTGGTCAATTCTCCCTTTACGTCGGTGAGGTGAGGTGAGGTGAGGTGAGGTGAGGTGAGGTGAGGTGAGGTGAGGTGAGGTGAAGTGAAATTGGGTTTAACGCCGCGTCCAAGATTATTGCACTTATATAGCGACGTGCATGCAAGTGTATGTGTTTGTGTGGCTGCTTGTACTAGTCCGGACTGATGCCGATTTATAGTGCTAGCCCACTGAGATACCATGCCGCAGTTTAACATGAATACCCCACTCAGACACAGTATACTGACTCCGAGCCGACCAGTCCTTGCTTTAACCCCTTAATGCCGAGCGCCAGACAGGGTAACAACAAGTACCATCTTTTAACGTCTTTTGGTATGACGCGGCCGGGGATCGAACCCCGGACCTTCCGCTCTCCGGGCGGACGATCTACCCTACCCTACCCTACCACTAGACCATGGAGGCGGTCCCCTTTACGTCGGACAATAGTCCTCTATGTCTACATTTCACAAATTATACATGCTCTTTCCACGATGATTTCAAAGCGAATCAAGGTTGATTAATCAGTGTGAAAACATTCAAGGCCTCAGTAAAGCTTTCACAAAGTACTAAGGTAGACAAGTGGAGGACAATTCCTAATATGACGCATAGGGACAAAAATGATGTCCGATGCAATTTTCCCTGTTTTGATTTGTACCATGTGTTCCGGTGTTGTTTTAAGGTAAACAGTTGACTTTCTTTGCGTGTGTTTATGACGAGTGCCACTGGTAGAACAGGATACACGCACCTTTTCGCGAACACCTGAAATCATCACTTGTTAATAGTGATTCCTAAACACATATCTACAATGTATACTCCTAATTGGCTAAGTTTTGATGATATAAAAATAATCTTCCAACAAATAAAGATTTAAATAAACCGGTACACAGTGATTGGGTAACCCATATAGGACCTTAATTTCATGATGAAGAGGCATGCATCCATAGGCACGATGTGCACGAGGTGCTTGAAACCCTGTGTTTGGATGTATCGTGTTAGAATGCATTACATGGATCACGTACACGGTGAGCTGAGGTGAGGAGAAATTGGGTGTAACGTCGCGTCCAAGATTATTGCACTTGTATAGCGACGTGTGTGTGTGTGTGTGGCTGCTTGTACTAGTCCGGACTGATACCGATTTATAGTGCTAGCTCACTGAGATACCATGCCGCAGTTTGACATGAATACCCCACTCAGACACAGTATACTGACTCCGAGCCGACAGGTCCTTGTTTTAGCGCCTTAATGTCGAGCGCCAGGCAGGGTAACAACAAGTGCCATCTTTCAACGTCTTTTGGTATGACGCGGCCGGGCGGACGTTCTACCACTAGACCACGGTGGCGGCCGGATCACATACACGCTACTAGGAATTGTCTTTTTGGACACCGAATTTGTTTTCGTGATTTTATTTACGTTTCAGTTTTGGCAGGATACACTCATTTTGTCGGGTGGTCTGACTGATTATTGTCACATGCTGTGTGCTGGCATTCTGTGGCACATGGCAACGGACTTTAGTTTTTTAAACATGTCTTCACGCCATATTGTCTTTGGCTATTTCAACAGATGCACACAATTTGACGTTTTACCACTGAAAGTGGTGATCCTTAGCAAACTCTGAGTAATACAGTGGAACCTGTTTTTAGCTGTTTCGAAATCATTGGTCTTAAGGTTAGAATGGTCTCTTGCGGGCCTTGTAAATTTAACCATTCAGTGTTTAATGTACCATACCTCTCTAGTTGGCCCACACAATATTATGGTAAACTGCTATTTTATGTGTAAATGACATTTACCGAGGATAATTCTAATGTTACAGATGATGTCTATCACTGTCCTGGGATTGTTGTTGGTTGTACTAGAGGCTAGGCGGCATTCGAATATCACCACCGAAACCTTTGTCCTCCCTGAAAGTAAGTACATGCAGAAACAATATACATATGACATGATATTTCTCATTATGGTGTGGAGTTCTTGTATATGCATGTTGTAACACACTAACACACACACACACACACACGCACGCACGCACGCACGCACGCACGCACGCACGCACACACACACAAACACACCCACACACACACACACAGTGACACACACACACAAACACACACACAAACACACAAACACGCAACAAACACACAAACACGCAACAAACACACACACACAAACACACACACATACACACACACAACAAACACACACGCACGCTCACACACGCACGCACACACACATTATTAAAGGACATGTGTGAGTCACACGGTGTATTCTTGTATGAACATGTTGTATCACACACTCACACACACACACACATTAATAACCTACAGACATATGTGTCACTTGGTGTATTCTTATATATGCATGTTGTATCACGCACACATTTTAAACGAAAGTATGTATCACATGGTGCATTCATGTATTTAAGATACAGATATACACAAATCATAATTTGTTCTTCATATAATATAATTCAAAATCAATATCCATTCAAATAATCTGGGGCGGTGGGGGTAGCCTAGTTGTTAAAACCTTAGCTCATCAGCCCGAAAACCCCGGTTGAATCCCCCATATGGGTACAATGTGTGAAGCCCATTTCTGGGGTTCCCTGCTGTGGTATTGCTGAAATATTGCTAAAAGAGGCGTAAATCTTACTCACTCACTCACTCACTCACCAAAATGTTTAAGAAATAATTTCACTTTCACTAACCTTTGATATCGCGAATGAATAAAATGTAAACTTCTCGATACAGTGCCCAAGATATCAAGAACTTTTGTCAAATAATTTATTGAACAAGCAGACATTGAATAAAGTTTGGAAATGAAAGTAATCCCTCTTGTTCATGTTACGGATCGTGATACAAAGTTCATTGGACTGATTTATCGCTTCGATAACACTACCCATTATATGATAGATGTGAGAATATCTGTCACTTGGCAGGTATTATACAGAGTGTGAAGGATGAACCCGATCCTCGGCAAGCAGTGTGTCGCTACCTGTGCTCCCGGGGACCTGTCACTGCCCAGGTGTGTCGCTGCTCGTTGTGGCTCCCTTGTCTGGTGAGTCCCGGTAAGGCCTTTCTTTTAGTCCAGGCAAAATAAGATTTCACTTGGAACAAATTGGAACAGAATTTATTTTACCACAATGCATTTCTACAAAGTCCCAGATGCAAAAATCAACATGGCCGCCAATTTCAAGATTTCAATTTCCTTAATATGAGTTTTGACTGTGGAATTTTGTAACTCTAACAGTGTGCTGGGACTTATATGCATGTTTATTACTTGGTACACTAACTCACTGAAGTATAGTCTACTCTTTTAGATAAGAACCTCCGTCACCAGAGCATCCTGGTGAGGCCAAAAATTCTAAGATGGCCGCCAAAAGATTGCTGGATAGACATGGAATGTCAATATACTGTTGGGTGTCTTTTGATATCATCCAACATCATTCTTCCAACTTTTGCAGTTTGAAGACAGTAATAAGCAGTGTCTTCAGTGTTAAAAGTACTGCTAACAGCTTCAGTACAGAGCCATTAGTGATGTCATTTGATTGTGACGTCATGGGAACCAATGACGTCACAATGGTCTGCAAAGGATTGTGATGCAATTTCAGTGCAGCGATATCTACAATGTAGATATCGCTTGATCTCACCCAAGCGATATCTCCTGTGGGAGTCAGTTTGGGATGATAAATTTGATTATGCAAATTTGACATATTTCCCAAACTAGGATTGCTTGGGACTTTTAGTACGTTGTTCTGGGGACCTTGTAGAAATGTATTGTGGTGAAATAAATTTGTAAGTTCAAATTTGCTACAATTTGTTCCAAGTTGAGTGAAAAAAATGGCCTAGATTGCCTGGACTATTTGGTGGAATGGACGAATGGTCAACTGGCTGTCAGCCGCCATGGATTTAAGGAGATGACTTAAGGTCGACGTCGCATGGCAGAACTACTGCTGGGCGTCAGGCAATATAAAATTACTTTTTGTGCAAATTGTATGAATGGCTGGTGTGACCGGTAGGGTGGGACATGCTCAGCCCTTTTCGCTAACACCTGGTGTCATCACAGATTTTCAGAGGTCCATTCATATAATTTCCACAGCTATTCTTCACTTTACGCCAAATGAAATATGTTTCAGAAGAAAATACAGGATGGTTATTTTCTTGCATTGACAATGACTTGGAATGCAGGAAAAAAGATCGAGAAGAGGTGTCCTGACATTGGGGACTAAAAATCTATATTGTGATATTTGTAAACGATGTAGATTCAATCATCGACTTCCTCCAGGTATAAACTGTTTAAAATATTTTTTAAGAAATGATTTGATCATAATACCTTCCCAAGCAGAGTTGACATGCATTTACCTTATGTTCAAAATCATCACTGAACATTTCTTACTAAATGTTGGACCTTCACAGTTGTGTGCATTCTGTGCTATTTGTTCTGAATTATAATTTATAATATACATTTGCTTTAAAATACATACATGCCGGGGTGGTGGGGTAGAGGTTAAAACATTCGCTCGTCACACCGACGGCACCAGTTCGATTCCCAACATTGGTACAATGTGTGTATTTCCTGGTGTCCCCCCACCATCTTATTGCTGGAATATTGCTAAAAGTGGCGTAAAACCATACTCACTCATTCACCCACATATGAGCCACCTTCTATAGCAACCCATGACTACTGGTGGCAAAAGGGTTGCAGCTAAATCAGACAGATGTCGGTATCATTACGAATTGCAGGTATTGTTTACTGAAGGTATATTCGTATGTTTTAGGGTAAAGTGTGTAGACATGGCACGTCGTGTCGGATCCGAGGACAAAAGAGTATTCCGCAGACACTATGCTGCCCAAACTTCTCAGACAAAATGGAAAAACGTAAGGAAATTGGTATCCGTTACTTGACCACGACAATGACATTTTTATATTCACAAAATCTACGTGAAGCTGGTTTGAAAAACTGTTACAAAGAGTTGCGTCCCTTAGACGTACCAGAATCTGATGATTGTGGGTTGAAAACCGGATTCGCTCGAATTGTAATTCATGATTTGTAATGGGTAAATATCTAAGACCTGCCTCACATTTCAGCTTTTCTCCCTCATTCAACAGACACGTATTGATGTAATCCTGCTCAGAGCAACTGCACCGCTATGCAGAGTTGCGTCCCTTGGGCAGGCCAGAAACCTATGATTGTGGGTTCGAATCCCGGTTCGCCCCGATTATGTTTCTAGGTTTATCAGCACCATACCCGTGCTCGTGGGTTTCACCGAAGTGGTAAACGTCTGAGACCTGCATTACTTCGGGCTTTCCTCCTACATTAAGCTGACACGCCGTGATATAACTGAAATACTTTTAAAAGCGGCGTTAAACCAAACTCACTCACTCACTCACTCAGAGCATGTGCAACTGCAACTCACCCCCTTTTATGGTCATTTTAAGACTAACTATTTGTTTCTGACGTATTCATTATGTCAGTTGTAATCAGTTATTTTGCAGCAATATGTTGTTTGTTTGTTTGTTTGTAATACTTCGGCAGCCTGTAAATAATCAAGTCTGCACCAGTAAATCCAGTGATCGATATTGTGAGCAACGAACCACGCCGTCGGGGTACAATGACATGCAATCAAACCAAGTCATCGAGCCCGACCACTCGATCCATTTGGACTGACCAGCACTGGTTGCTTAGGACATATTCTAACTCGGAGACCCCATGGGTTGGTACAGCAATAGACTGATGAACATTATTCTTGCTACACAGATGTAACATAGAGCACTATAATCGGAGCACCACGTGAACATTCATATGCTCCCAGAGTGTACGGCGATAGGGCAGTGTCTCTTTATTCAAGTTTCAATGGTGTTTATTTATTTTCAGAATGCGAAAAAATGAGAACCTTTATAACTTACCGACGCACAAACCCGTACTACAAGTATAACCCGTCTACTGGTGGATGCGAGATTCGTCACGTGACAGCCTCCAAAATTCAGTTTGTGACTGTGCCTGGATACAAAAATTCCCACGCATGCGCATTGTGCTCTCTCTACAAAATGTGTGCAGGACCAGTCGTCGAGCATTTTGTACCGGATATTACGTCATATGGCAATCAATAGTTTCACGTGACAATCAACCTGTGGATTTTAGTGTGTATGCTTGGTGGTTGTAACTAATAGTCCAACAACACTGTAATGATTATGATCAATGAATGTAATTTACAAATCTCAGCCAGAAAAAGAGAAGATCATATCACATATTTCAGATAACAAATGAAAACATTTGGTTGATTTAGAGATATTCTGTTATGAACTCGCAAAGTAAGCCTCGGTGTTCATTTAACGGATATGAATTCTTTTATAGAATAATCGATTGATACACACACACATACTTAAGCCACCACAACCTCCATCTTTGGTCTATGAATAACGTGGGATATTATCAATTACAATTGTATTGAATGATTCAAGTCTGAGATTTTTCTAATGAATTTTGTATTAAATATCACAAATCGCACTGGCCATGTTGGTTTTCATATCTGATTTGTTTCGAATCACGGGATGTTATCTAACATATTCATTTTTTATCAGGATAATACTTGCAAATATATTTATAGATATAAATAACTGTGATCATATATGGTTCTTATGTGATACATTTTTTCAGTTGAACAATTGACTTGCCTTTGCATTTGTTTGTGATGGGTACCACCGGCGGGGCAGGATACGCTCAGCTTTTCGCGAACACCTGGTATCATTACTATTTGATAGTGATTCATAAACACATGCTCATGACATAGTCGGAATCGTACAATCGACTCTGCTTTATGCAGAGATTTCTACTGGTTATGAAAAGGGTTTTTGTCGCTCTATTTATAGATGGAGCTGACTTTATAACGTAGTACACGACCATGCACTTTTCAAAACAGGTTCCGTTTGGATGAGGTTTTTTAGTTTATAAAGACGTCACACCTCACGTTGTCCTTTCCCTTCAAACTTCTCAAGGTCAGTAACCTAAAGAGTACAACAACAATACAATCGACTACACCCTTTCCATCATAAGTAATCTCTGTCATCAACATGTGTTTATGAATCACTATGATGATAAAGGTGAGCGCATCCTGCCCCACTCGTCACAAACAGTTGCAAAGGCATGTCAATTATTCACCTGAAAACACACGTGAACACAATAATAGTACAACCCAAATAGGGAATTGCATCGGATGTGGAAATGTTCTCCACATGTCTACCATATAACATTTTGAAAGCTATACTGAGGCCTTGAATGTTGTAATCTTGATCCTGAGCAAAAGTTGTATGACGCTCTTTGAAATCTTGATAGAAAGAGCATGCTCGACATAAAGGGAAAGTTGACCATTGGGAAGTTGAAGTCATCCCTCTTGCCATACAGTCTTGTGGAGAATATTCTGTGACTCTGAATCTTTACGCATAGATCTAAATATGAAATAGACGAAGCGGACTCACTGGTGTCCTTTATTCATAGTTCAGGTGGTAAATGAAGGCAATTGACTATGATATGGTTATTAATTGATATCAGATCATCGATACACCTGAAGCTTAAGTTAAACTTCCTGGCCAAATTACCTTGTTTCGACATTCCGAGCAGAAATTCTGATTCATATGATTAAAGAAACAGATCCGCAAGAAGGGGAGCACAATTGATGCCCATGGGGATGCCTACTTCTTGCTTCAATGTTTTACCCCCAACTTTTACATAGATGTTATTAATGAGGAAGTCCAGCATTTCACATAGAGTTTTCTCAGTAAACTGCAGACGGCATTTGCTTTCATTTTTTACACATTTTCCTGAGCCTCTGAAGATAGATATGTAACTATATCTATGGTCACAAAACTTCCCATGCTGTGTATTTGAATTTGAAAACTGCTTAAATTACGTTTTGAAAATCTTTTTAAAGAAGTCCAGGTGGAATCCATTATTAGCCAACTTAAAAGTGTTGAGGCATGTTCTTCCTTATAACCGCAATATGATAAAATATAACGTGGCCCCAGTTAGAACCAATCATTTTATATTTTTGGGGTTTGGGTAGTGGGGAGGGGATGCTGTGATCTTGCATGGAGTCCAGCTATTTTACAGCTACATCTGCAAAACCAGATATATTTTTAAAATAAAAATTACGAGCTTAAATATATTTTTTGCAAAGAAAAAACAGCTTGCAACAATGTATTTGACGTGGCTGCCAATTTATTTTGTATTTATCACCAAGAAGCACAATTACTTTTCCAAGCAATACATTTTGTTGTTGTTGATATAACAGACAAAAGCACGCAGGCACTCACGCATGCACCACCACCAATAAAATCAAATGATTGGTCCCTTACGTCTTGTAATCAAACACTCTTGGTTTGGGGACAGTTGTGAAGTGTATTTGTAAGTGAACATAAAACAAATGACAATTCTACATCCACTGAACCAAGTTTCCATCACCGTTTATTTCACATCGGTACATCACATCCATATTAAGCCTCTGTACATTACTGGATACGTAATAAATAAACTGATCAACCATTCACATCATAACTGAATTGATTATTGTGGTTTATAACTTATCCCTGGCCCTTCTTACTGAATATAATACTGTTATTTTCGGATTGAATAAAATCAGATATATCGAAATATTGGTAATGACAAAGTCAAATCTGTTTCACATGGGTTTGGTGAAGATTATAGGATTGCAGTGGAATTTCGGAAATAATTTTTGTTATTTATGCACATACTTATTTCTAGCAGGTGAATGACAATAAATGGCATAAAGATACTAGTTTCAAACACATAATAGTGAACGTGTTATAAAACATTGAACCTCTTCAACTCGTATTCTTGGATACCATCGAAGACAGACGGAGACAAGGGGTTGCCCATACATAACTACTTTGAGTATTTAATATTTAACTATTTTAATATTTCCGCCAGGATCATAAGGTTACCTCGTCTTAGGGAATATATCGAGTTAAGGATTTTCAAGGTGAGGATGTTTCATTGCATGTGCTAGTATACAGTGTATGATGTTTCATTTACTAGCATACAGTGCGATGGTCGGGTGTCTGTGAAATCCTTTGTGTGTTACAGCTACCAATATTTTGTGTTGCCTGTGCCACAGTTGATACCCGTATACACACCGAATGTTAAAAACCTGTATACAGTGTAACCTCTTTAATCCGCACAGTACTGTCCTCAGTTCGATCGTCTGCATTATCAATGTTCGGTTTATTGGGTACGTCGTAATGCTTCTTTCGTTATAAGAAGGGAAGGTCGAGAAGGCGGGGTTTCTGGACTGGCAGGCCCGGAAAAAGAGTTCCACTGTATTAAGAACTTGCTATAAATGTCAGTGTTTCTTAATACACTCGTGAATTTCTCGAATTCAACTCAAAGAATATTCCATGTTCAATTTTTATTCAACCTAATATTTTACATAAATACCACTTTCGTCCAATACCATCCACCTAAAACGGCAGTGCCAAAAACAGAATGTATCAAGATTGACTTTGAAGCTTTGAAGTTTGGTTATGCAAATGAAAAACCTCAGCTTTTTGTTTTGATTTCCTCTATTTGTTCTTTTTAACTTATATAAAGAATTGAATTGGACATTGAAGATACCACTTGTGTTACCATTCTGGACACCGTATATTTGTGTGCTTGTTTGCAGAAGGGAGGCGTCGTCAATGTACCCTTGTCTGCTTGTGTGGGTCCGAACCTATCTTGTATATATCGTATGCCAATAATTAACATGTTCCATCTTAGACATCATTTCTTTGGCGCCTTACCACAATAATGTGATTCTTAGGCATTAGCATGACAAAAAAGTCAGCAACATCCGATTTACAGATGGAACAAAATTTACTAAAAATTAAATTGTTTGTCAGGATTTCCTAAATGCTTTAGTCTCTGGATGAACACAGTTGAGGGCAAAATAATTTTCTGTGAGTTAAACCGGATATCAGTTGTTTTTGATAGGCATGAAACCGTCTAGATTAACAAATGCAAGGTCTCATTTTATACGGAACTGGCTTTATACAGGGTTATTAAGATGTCATAGTCACCAGAGGAAAGGCCTTGAATAATTTATGCACAACCAACAATAGTAAGAATTTACGAGAAATCGTAGACATCAGTAAGTTAAAATAATATATAGAGCTGTCGTGGGTTCCAATTTCAAATTAGATATATAGAAGTTAAAGAACACCGAAATGGGCTTCACACATTGTACCCATTTGGGGAATCTTATCCGGGTTTTTGGCGTGACGAGCGAACGCTGTAACCATTAGGCTATCCCAACGCCCCTATATGAAAGAAAAGGATGTTCTTAAACTTCTTTTGAGTAGTACATAACCTCTCAAAACGGGTCTCTATGTAACATCTACACTCTTTCAGCACAAACATTAATTCTTTTTCTCCGCCAGGGAGCAGGAAATATAACAAGAATTCTGTAGTCCTCTCTCTACCCCGGCATTTATTTCCTGTCCTTTGTGAAGCCGGATGTAGGTTTTCTGTAAAGAGGTTTATTGATACACGCGCCTGTTGTGATCAGGCTGCCTGCATTTACATTGTCGGAGACACGCCCTTGCATTGGTGAAGTAGGATGTGCGGTCGAATCTCTTGGCCCTGAAGGTATGACAGGTATTGGACTGGTGGCTGTAGAAGTAGAACCGACGACCAAATCTCATGTTGTAGCGAGGCCGGTTCCAGCACACTGCACATAAAAGAATATAATATCAAATATTATCTAATTTGTAATCACGTACACGTTTCTCAAGAACACATGAGATGAAACATTATTGCACTTATTTAGCGACGTGTGTGTGTGTGTGTGTGTGTGTGTGTGTGTGTGTGTGTGTGTGTGTGTGTGTGTGTGTGTGTGTGTGTTTGCGTGTTGTTGCTCGTACTAGTCCGGGCTAATGCCGATATTAAAGTGCTAGCCCACTGAGATACCATGCCGCAGTTTAACATGAATACCCCACTCAGACACAGTATACTGACACCGAGCCGACCAGTCCTTGTTTTAGCCCTTTAATGCCGAGCGCCAGGCAGGGTAACAACAAGTACCATCTCTTAACGACGTTTGGTATGACGCGGCCTGGGATCGAACCTCGACCTTCCGCTCTCCGGGCGGACATTCTACCACTAGACCACAGAGGCGTTTCTCACGAACAGAAGCAAGCCATATTTACAATAGTTAACATGTGATTCAGTGTGTTATAATGTCAAAATATGCACATGTGTTTTCATTTTCATATGTGAATATTTTGAGAAACGTCTAAATACAGGAAATATCAGAAAGAAAAAGAAAATATCGGGATATGTTACAGTGAAACAATACAGTAGTCGCGGTATAAAACGAATTTGATGGCGGGAGAACGACTACGTTCAGCATGCAGATAACTGAAGTCACGACATTTAAGATTGAACACCCTTTCTTCACCTGCCCCGATGAATGAGTTGAAAAACAGTGGGTTACTATACTTAACATGATATGCGATATTGCAGGTTCGATTTCACCGTCCCGAGCCAAGGCGTTTAACTGAATATACAAGTCCAGTACCACCCTTACCGAACATGGCTGGAATTTCACGGCTCGGTCGTAGCGCCACCAGTGGCTATTACGACTTATGTCCCTTCTAAACTAAGCGGCAAAAGAAAGTATAGGTTGGCAATTTGTAATTTTCCTAAAAACAGCGATAACTAGTGGAAAGTGGGTATTGGGAATATGACTGCCCCGGAACAGGTACCAAAAAACACCACCCGAACGCGCCACCTTTGACGGCGCTCGTGCGGTGACAATAAGATGGTGAAACAGGTTTCCCGCCTATGGCATAAACTGCACGTGCATGTTAGTTGTATGAATGCGTTCGTCTGCAGGGTATAACCACACGTGATGAAAGCACACAAAAGAAATGCCACGACTGTCACAGGAGCAGAGAGAGAGAGAGAGCCATTGGTATGGCCGAAATGGGGGCAACACAGGTCCAAATTGCCAGAAGGTTTTTGTTGTACACCATTGACAGTGGCCAGGCTGATTCAACGGTACAGACAGACAGGGAGGACACAGGACAGGCCTAGAACCGGACGACCCCGAGTGATAACACCACAGGAAGACGGTCAGATACGGCTCATTCACCTGCGAAACAGATTCGTAACGGCGCGGCGTGTATTCGAGAGGTCCAGGTGGAGGTGTCATGGTGTGGGGCGGTATTTGTGGAGATCAGACTGATTTGGTGTTTATACAAGGAAACTTGAACGCTGTGCAGTACAGAGACCAAGTGTTGCAGACAGTTGTGCTTCCGTTATTACAAAACCAACAGCAGGGGACATTGTTTCAACACGACAATGCCAGGCCCCATACTGCAAGACTGACTCGGAACTTTCTAAACCAGCAGAACGTTGACGTTTTGCTCAGGCCTCCCCACTCACCCGATATGAATCCTATTGAACATCTGTGGGACCATCTTGTCAGACAGATTAGAGCACGCCATCAGCCTCCCGTCAACAGACAAGAATTGCAGCAGGCCCTGAGCGACGAGTGGCAACGGATTCCAGTCCACGTCATCAGAAGACTGGCGTCATCGATGAGGCGGCGTATCACAGCATGCATTGAGGCAGCTGGAGGTCATACACGCTATTGAAGGCAACTGTGTCGACAATGAATATGTAGTGTGTCTGACAATTGTTTGGTGACATTTCAGACAACTTTTGAAAATGAAATTACCCCACCATTGTTTACCTTGAGTTTACATTACCTGTGATTGCAGAATTTCATTCAAACTGTGATTGATCAATCATTTGTTACCCCTCCTTAGATTAGATTATAATTCACAACAAAACCTCTTCTTGTTATTTTTTTATCGACCATGGAACTCGACCTATACTTTCTGTCACCGCCCAGTTTATGTCCATCAGACCAATAAGATTCCACCTCTCATATCACGCATTTGCTTCAAAGAAAATGATGGCGCCCAGTCAAGACGATCTGATCAAGTTAATCGAAGAAACGTTTCACACTCCGTGCCTCACACACACCCAGAGCCAACCAGTCAGGCTTTTCGGAACGGAAAAGACATTTTCGTTTTGACAAGGACGGTTGTGGGAAATCCCTGTCGCACGAATCTGTGCAATTTTTATGTGAAGGATCGTGCATTCTCTAACCCGAACCGCTAATCGTCATCATGGTGGAACAGTGCGAGAAGACAAACAACCTGGGATTCAGGGCAATCTGCATCGGAAAGCACCCTAAAGATGTTGACGTGGTATGAGAGGGACGTTTTAACTTGCCTTCTCAAGCCCAGAGATTGTCAGTGTCAAATCTGAAGTGGAGGGATTCAACAACTGCGCCTGCCTTCAAAGCTCATGTTGTTCAAAGAAACACTTCAGGGAGTATATACCACTCGGGGCTGCGCCTCTCATGGTTTATTCTCCTTGCAGTGTTTTATTGCACGATAAATAACTCCCACTCGTCGTTTATTTCTTAATTACCTCCCTTGCCTCAGGAAGATAGTTCGATTCACTTCATGGTATTTTAAAGTGAACTTATTTAAGACTTTTACCAGTCGAAAATAAACATTAGATGCATAGTAAAAAGCTGTTTACGCGTATGTAAGCAGGTCATGCAATTCAAATGCAAAGCCTCCAAGCAGGTCTTACAATTCAAATGAAAAACCTCAATGCGTGTCTAGCAGTTCAAATGTAAAACCTCTCAGGAGGTTCCATTTGAAAGAAGTACCTCTCACAAGGCTACTGTACGAAAGCAAGATACCTACAACAATATTGGCAAAAATAGCACATGGTTTATGAGAGCATTTCCAGCTCATGCCGATTTCGCACAGGCATGTACGAGTAATGAATTAAAGCAAAATGTGCAGACTGGCAGTACATTCATTATACATTAGAAAACGGAATCAAGAGACACCGTGCTAGAATATTAAAGTATGAGAGATAAATATGAATTAAGACCATAGTACAATTTCAAGCCAATGAAGCGCTCGTACAATCCATTTTTTCCAAGCTGTTGGTGTACGCGCAACGTTAATAGAAGCATACATAATATATTGATAGTCTACAAGGTTCATCCCGTACAACTATGTCTGTGTCACAGTGTGTCATCTTCATAAGGACAGGAAGCCTGTAGTGATGGTTGTACACATTTAGCAGATTGGTAATATGACGCATGCTCCTAAAGGACCAAGGATAATATTCAGGGCGATTCTGGCTGACCCACAATTCGGGATTCTCTCACAAGGGATAGTTATTACCCTTAAACACCTTAAAGTGTCTTTGCCATAGTTTGTTTAATTCCCGTTTTTGTATGAGAAATTTTGAATATTTGAAGTTTAAATTATTGTGATGTTAACGTCGACTGAGGTTACAGAAGGTGGTGCCACTCGAGGAGTGTTGTTGGCCAGCGTTCCATGCAACCACTGGTGACAGAAGGGATGTCATAATCCTGCTGGGGAATCATGCAGGAAACACGGGTGCCGTATGTCCTCATGCCCCCAATAAGGTGGCCTAGCTTTAGATGCTGCTGGTCTATAGCATGGTGACCGCCTCCGTGGTCTAGTGGTAGAGCGTCCGCCCGGAGAGCGGAAGGTCCGGGGTTCGATCACCGGCCGCGTCATACCAAAAGACGTTCAAAGATGGTACTTGTTGTTACCCTGTCTGGCGCTCGGCATTAAGGGGCTAAAACAAGGACTGGTCGGTTCGGAGTCAGTATACTGTGTCTGAGTGGGGTATTCATGTTAAACTGCGGCATGGTATCTCAGTGAGCTAGCACTATAAATCGGCATCAGTCCGGACTAATACAAGCAGCCACACACACACACACGTACATGCACGCCGCTATATAAGTTCAATAATCGTGGATGCGACGTTAAACCCCATTTTCACCTCACCTATAGCATAGTTATAATGGATACTAAGTAACCTATTAAAATTGATGTGTTTGAATTTTGATCGTGTTTGTTTAATAATTCAATTGGGATATTTACCCCAATATTTTACTGTCCTTTGACGACAGGTATTTTATAATGATTATCTTGTTATCATTGCGATATGGCTGCAGTATTGCCGATGCGATGTACACTCCAAGAATCCTGGCAGTAGAGGAACGTAAATCAGCATCGCGCTTTGAGGCATCTTGGTGCGACCAAACAAATTACACGTTTATATAGTTGTCGTGGGCGTTGACACTGTAGAGACTGTGCGAACACTGATCACACTAAATGATTGGCTAAATAAATTAGAATATTTAGTTAACGTCGCGGCAAAACGAGACAAAACGCTGACATGAGACCGCCGCAGAGAAACAATCTTCTAACCCCTTTGACAAGTTCACTGATGTTCATCACCATAAAGTTATTAAACGCTCACCTTTGTGACGCTTCCGGGGACAGCATAATGCAAAGGTTTTATACTTGGTGGTTCGTGTCTGGCACACTTCACTGGATCGACAGCTTTGGGCCTGTGGAATATCAAATATACACTAAATAATATCCAATGTGATGCGTTGAGTTAAAACGCCGTTTTGAACGTTATCTCCGATATCTTACAGCTTGGTCCAGGCACGACAAAAAAAACCGCGACTGCGTACAACGAACTGCGACCAAGACCATGGGGGCGCTAGTGTCTCCTGTATACTAGTATATAGTTAAATACGTTCAGTTGCGTAATCATTGCTCCATACTGTCATTGCATTAACCTGTAACTCCCGATAAGAGGGGGTTCGAGATAAAAGAGGAATGTCAGCGTTTATTTAGAGACAGCCAAGTTGTAGATGACATACATAATTATACTATGTATATGTTCATCTTTAATACAATAGAAGTTATGTCAGTGGTACGGTATTTCATCTCATCCCATTTGGCCACATTTGTAATACATGTGCCTGACAATAACTGCTGAAAATAGTATTTAAGCAAAAACAAAATACTCCAGTTAGCTTACCGTACACATGTGTTTGAAACAGGTACAGCCATCAGCAGAGGAGAGTATACCCGAATAACACAGAAAGTTGCAGCTAGATCCGAACGAAGGTAAGATTCGTGCCCGTTCTGGAAGTAAAACGATGTCTTTAATTCGAAATGATATGAAACATGGTTAACGTATCATTCAATACTTGTAAATTCGAGATATGGCAACACTCATGCAATACTTGCTTTCGAGATATGGCAACACTCATGCAATACTTGTTTTCGAGATGTGACAGTCATGAAATACTTGTATTCGAGATATGGCACACATTATGCAATACTTGTATTCGAGATATGGCAAAAATCATGAAATACTTGTATTCGAGATATGGCAACAATCATACAATACTTGTATTCGAGAAATGACAACAATTATGCAATACTTGCATTCGAGATATGGCAACAATCATGCGATACCTGTATTCGAGATATGGCAACAATCATGCAATACGTGTATTCGAGATATGGCAACACTCATCCAATACTTGTATTCGATATATGGCAACACTCATCCAATACTTGTTTTCGAGATGTGACAGTCATGAAATACTTGTATTCGAGATATGGCGCACATCATGCAATACTTGTATTCGAGATATGGCAAAAATCATGAAATACTTGTATTCGAGATATGGCAACAATCATACAATACTTGTATTCGAGAAATGACAACAATTATGCAATACTTGCATTCGAGATATGGCAACAATCATGCGATACCTGTATTCGAGATATGGCAACAATCATGCAATACGTGTATTCGAGATATGGCAACACTCATCCAATACTTGTATTCGAGATATGGCAACACTCATCCAATACTTGTATTCGAGATATGGCAACACTCATACAATACGTGTATTCGAGATATGGCAACACTCATACAATACATGTATTCGAGATGTGGTAACAATTAATCAAAACTTCTTTTCGAGAAATGGCAACAATCATTCGATACTTGTATTCGAGATATGGCAGCAATCATTGTTAACCTGTATTCGACAATACAATTACACGTATTCAAACAAATAAAAGCGAAAATAATCGTAACGTATGTCTTCTGAAAGGAAAGTCCATTGTACGATTCCGACTATTCCGACAAAACATCGAATGTATGAGCTTCAGGAAAAAACATGATCTTCCGATATTCCTGAAAATAAGTTGTAGAGGTGTGTTTAACACTGCCTTGGATATCCTTGAAACATGGTCAACACGGTGTTCTTAAGCTGGTAATCATGACTAGTCAGCAATCGAAAGATGGTAAACATGTCCTTGCAGTATTACACAGATGGTAAACACGACCTAGCAGCATCCAATAGATGATAAACATGTCGCAGTCGTATCGAATAGATGATAAACATGACCTAGCAGTATCCCACAGATCATACACATGACCTAGCAGTATCCCATAGATGATAAACATGACCTAGCAGTATCCCATAGATGATAAACATGACCTAGCAGTATCCCAGAGATGATAAACATGACCTAGCAGTATCCCATAGATGATAAATATGACCTAGCAGTATCCTATAGATGATAAACATGACCTAGCAGTATCCCACATATGATACACATGACCTAGCAGTATCCTATAGATGATAAATATGACCTAGCAGTATCCTATAGATGATAAACATGACCTAGCAGTATCCCACATATGATACACATGACCTAGCAGTATCCTATAGATGATAAATATGACCTAGCAGTATCCTATAGATGATAAACATGACCTAGCAGTATCCCATAGATGATAAACATGACCTAGCAGTATCCCATAGATGATAAATATGACCTAGCAGTATCCCATAGATGATAAATATGACCTAGCAGTATCCCATAGATGATAAACATGACCTAGCAGTATCCCATAGATGATAAATATGACCTAGCAGTATCCCATAGATGATAAATATGACCTAGCAGTATCCCATAGATGATAAACATGACCTAGCAGTATCCTATAGATGATAAATATGACCTAGCAGTATCCCATAGATGATAAACATGACCTAGCAGTATCCCATAGATGATTAACATGACCTAGCAGTATCGCATAGATAATAAACATGACCTAGCAGCAAGCAGTATCCCCATGGATGACGAACATGTCCTAGCAGTAGTCTTTAGATGACAAACATGTCCTAGCAGTATCCCATGGATGACAAACATGTCCTTGTAGTATTCCATGGATTACAAACTGGATCTTGCAGTATTACATAGATGACATACATTAAATATCAGTTTCCATAAACAAGTATTCCATAGATGAAAAAACATGAAATAGATGTTTCCACAGATTACAATCATGTCGACCTACCAGTATTCCAAACTGATGTCTTCACGTCAGTTTTCCAGACTGTTGTCTTCAGAGTAGACTGGGCAGACGCCAACTTCAAAACGAGGCAGACGATAGCAACGAGACAGCACGCATGAGCCTTTCTCGGCATCCTGCGTAGACACAGAAACAAAGATGCATGAAACAGCAACTGTACATATTTCTAGTTTTAGCACCACAGCTGAGTGGACTTGAAGCACCGATTAGTGATTATTGATGTACATTTAGCAAAACATCATCTCTTTATATATCTAACGCGTGGTACGTCTGGAATGTCACGAGATTCCTGAATACTGCTGAATACCCCCTTCACATACACGGATTTTTCTTACGAGGCCTTACGGATCGGCAACTCGTAGTCAATCGCAAGCATCCGTAAATAACTCGCTGGTATCCGTAAATAACTCGTCACTTCTCGCAACAACTCGCAGACACTCTTAAGGCTCCGTGGAAGGAGAGGCAAATTTTTTGACGATGTCCTTTACGCCCAGTTTTGTCTGTTTCGACGGATAATCGAGACTGGTTATTCTCTGGTGTTGACGTTTAAAATTATCATTATAATTTACACGGATTTTTCTTACGAGTCCTTACGGATCACCAACTCGTAGTCAATCGCAAGCATCCGTAAATAAATCGCTGGTATCCGTAAATAACTCGTCACTTCTCGCAACAACTCGCAGACACTCTTAAGGATGAGTGGAAGGAGAGGCAAATCTTTTGACATGTCAAAATTCATCTTACGATTGTCCACGGATTGATTTTTTCGTAAATAACTCGTAACAATCCGTAAGAATCGTAAACCGCTCGCAACAACACGTAACCATCCGTAAACTGCTCGCAAGAATCCGTAAATGACTCGTAAAAATTTTTTAACGATTTTTTAAGAATTTTTTTTAAGGATTTTTTAACGATTTGTTAACGGATTTTTTACAGAGTATTACGAGTGCTCGTGGTGTTTACGATTTCATTCGGGTCGTGTTACAATTGCTCTACGGATTATTACGAGTTATTACGAGCACTTTACGTGTAGTTGCGAGTTCTTTACGAATAGATACGTATACTTTACGTAGTCTTACGTATTGTTTACGATTTGTGAAAAGGTATAAAAGCTGCAAAATCGAACACGTCATGTTCAGTTGTTACTAAGAAGTCATAGAAGTCACATCTCTGCATATCTACTCTACAATATCTACAAGCATGGCTTCAAAGAAGAAGGCAGTCAACAAGAAGTCTCTTGCTCTTCGAAAATCTCCGCGGAAGAAGAGGACACGCTCGCCTTCCCCTGAACCACCACCGCAGCTAGACCCTGTTGATGTAGAAGACACTGAAGACACTGAAATTGTCTCTCTGGATGTCAGTTGTCGAATGATGATACATTGAGATTTGCAGGATTTATATATTTTTTGACAACAAATCGTAAGGACTCGTAAATACTCGTAACTAACTCGTAACTATTCGTAACAACACGTAAACAGGTCGTAACTAACACGTACAAAAGTAACTTCGATAAATAGTAACATTCCATAATATACTCGTAACAATCCGTAAAAAGCTCGTAACATGCCCGTAAGATGCTCGTAGTTATCCGTGACAACTCGTAACAAATCGTGGAATTTTGCCGTAAATACATCGTAATAACTCGTAATAATCCGTAATAAACCGTAAATAGCTCGTAATAACTCGCAACAACTCTTAAATCGGTCGTAAAAATGGCCAAATCGTATGGATCCGTGAATTTGTGCGATCCGTAAGGACTCGTAAGAACAATCCGTGTATGTGAAGGGGGCATAACGGGTCCAGGCAACAACAAAATAGATGTACAGCTAACCAAGACCTGCTTCCTGTGAGGACGTTTAACAATTGAGATCTTCCGCTTACGCCGCCGGTCTCAAATGAAATTTCCGGGAATCAAATTAGGAGATAAACATACACTGTGTCATCATGAAGTGCTCGGTTACCTTCATTCGGAACCGAACGAGGTTTGATAGTTAAATTTACAGGCAGAAACGCCGCCTTTGATTTCAGTCAAACTATTGAGTGGACCTGTATGGGTTTAAGTGGGCTGTCGGTTTGAAGTAAGGTTAATAGCCATTAAACAAAGTTTGGTGCTGTATAAGCTCAATCAATGATTCATTATAGTTGACTCGCTTACGCATGATATCGTCGGAATCGCACAATGGACTCTGCTTAAGCAATGACTTTTGATACACTTTTCACTGCTATTATACTTTTACGCCCAGTTTTGTCTGATAATCGAGACTGGTTATTCTCTGGTGTTGACGTTAAAAATTATTATTATATTCCTAAAGTACTGTCGGAAATGCTTAGAAAAATTATTTTTGCCCGTTAAAAAAGGATAATTTTTTCACAGACTGATGCTATTGTAATATCGAGTAATAGGGCTTAACTGGTGATTTTCATAAGTACATTATGTTCATAGACTAGTTTGAACATCAGCTATTTAGGAGATAAACACACTGTCTTTTCAATTTAGGGCTAGGTTACCTGTAGATGTAACGGCGATAAATTGAATTTGGAACCGAACGCGCAGCGTGAGGTTTCAAATGTTAAATTTAACGCGGTTAATGTTAAATTTAGCGCAGCCTTCCAATATTCACCCCCTTCATACCTTTTGACTATTCCATCATTTTTACAAGCAAAAATAATGCAGTACATATCTTCAACTGATATCCCATCAACGCGCGTGTCAATTAAATGCAACAACAGAAATATTTTGAGACCTACCTCAACTCAGGTGACATTTGCATCTGTGAGAATGCACGTGCCGGTGTGAGGTCATCACCTCGGGACAGGTGTTAGGTAATTACCTAAGGTTATAGGCCGTTTCATACATGTATGACAACACTCGAATATTTTCTAATTTTTATCATCATTTTACATTTTAAGGGTAATCACAGAGTCATTTAGGATAGGCTAGATTATGTCAGTTTGCGTTACTTTGATGTTTGCTATTTTCATAGCCCTATGACTCGTATTTATTAAATGAAGCTAGAAAAATATTTTTCTAACATTTCCGACAGTACTTTACTTTTTTTGTTTTTGACGCAAGTCACGTATTACGTCGTTTGAACTTGAAAAACTTGGTTTGATGGATCTAAGTATTTTATGTGCTGCAAGTATAACCTTGCCCACATCCGTGTAAACACATCACATAAATAGCTTCATGCTACTAAATGATGCTACTCTATCATATTCATCGGTTACTGGTAGTCGCCGTCCTCGGGCGTTTCCACATGTGTTGATTGAAGGTAATAACATCATTCTATCATTGTGAAGCATTCTTCTCACGATTGTAATAACGGTGGACAATAATGGAGTAAGGAGTTACATTAAAAGTTACAAAACGGATATGACTAAGCAAATATACAAGTTTTCCTTTCTAAAATAATTTCACTTTAGATCGATTAAAGTGGATTATGCTGGATGACCAGGTGTTGATTTTCGGTCCGGTCTGTGTTTTGGCATAATAAATAGTGACTGGTCTCAAACATTGAATGTAGTTGAGTAATCGTAAAATCCTAGATTGGATATACTATAAAGAAAATACTACACATGCCCGTCTCATATCATGCCATACAATTTTCAGAAGATCATCCCAAGGGATGTAGAAGCAAGCCTGGCGCCATATGCCTGCCTGCACATGGGCACACTGAATATATTCTCTCCGGCGAACAGTGGTAGTTTTATCATGCCTTGATCAGCCTTGAGCTGTTTAAACAGATGTCATCTGAGATCTTTGGCATTTACCATACTGACTCCCCTTACGCTGAAGTTTTTGGGTTTGGCACATCTGGCAAAACTCCTCATAGTCCTACAGCTCGTCTCCAGTGCCAAGATCAGTCAATGCACAATAACGGTAGGATTTTGTGATGCCTGTTTTGTGCGACCGGTAGGACAGGACATGCTCACCCTTCTCCCGGGCCCTTTGTTTCAGTGATCCATTCTTGTAACTGTCACCGTCTATTTTGCCTTTTACGCCCAATGGAGTCGGATAATCGAGACTGGTTATTCTCTGCCGCTGACGTTTTACATCGTATAGCAGTTTTCTTTTCCCTTTCATTTAATGTGTCCTATTGTATCAGAATGAGACACCCAGGGATTCTGCTTTTGGTTTACCAAGTTTGTCATAGATAGCCTGCAACATAGATGTCTTTCAACGATCCCGGGTACCCATGTCTCCGAGGTCCTGGCACCCTTTGTAGGACAAGAAGTACACCCATGCCCTGTGAGTGTATGGTTGACCTGAATCCTGCCACTGCAGTATCTACTGCATGCCAAATCATGAGAGCCTCTTCTTCTGTTTTTGAAGCTAGAATTACTTTACATTGTAAATTTGAATTGATACTTTCTGAGTGGCTGTCATCATATTCTTGGCAGTAATATTGGTAATGGCCGTCTGTGCATGGTACAATGTCAGTGAATCCTTGGCTCCATTGCCACACTAGTTTGTCTTTGATGCCAGTTGTATCTTCAACTGTGTATACTGCGATTCCTTTGGCCCATTCTGTTGTTTTCTTGTGAATGTCGATGTGATTTTGAATTTTGACTAGGATGAAGCAAGGTCTTCGCGGTTATTGAAGTTCTTCATTGCCATTAATTTCTGGACAAATGCCATTCCATCGATAAAAACGCAGTTCGGGGAGTTGTCATCAGCAGCTGTACCTGGATGGCAAACTGTTTCTCTCAGTGTTGCCCCTTCATCGGGTGTATTCACCACCAAGAGGTGCTTCAAAATGCTCAAAGTGTTCAAAGAATATCGAAGTTGAAATCCATAATACCGTGTAGAAAATGGAAAGACCTGATAAAAATACAGCAGTTCAACATTCACCCATTCCTTATGTGAGTGATGGAATTTTGTTCCAAAGCTCACCAGACATTGTCCAACTGTTATATTGCCATAACCATAAGACATCACTACTCATCAGAGTCCTTTGGAAGATTCCGACCATATGATAAGGAAGTGTTCATGAATCAAATAGCGATGATACCAGACAGTGCTTGATAAAGCTATATAAAGCAGGGCAAGTGTAACCTAGTGTTCAAAATTTAAAACTGCAATCTAATATTTATGTCTACAACATTTGTATCTGAC